GTTATATGCAAATAATACAATTTTTCACTGGATTTTAATTCTTTAGAAAAAATTAATAAAATTTGTTATCAAAATTTTAGTTATTTTCATAAATAAAAAAAAATTCAACTAAAATTAAAAAAAAAACTAACAAAGTTGTTAGTTTTTCGGTCTTTTTTTCATGTTAATGTTTTTTAATGTTTTTAATTCGACTACAAGGTTTTTTAGAGGTTATGTTAGGGCGTGATAAACGCAATAACTTTAGAAATAGAAAAAGGCCCCTTATTGAGTCAGAAAGAGAGAGAGGGAGAGAAAAAAACACATTTTAAGGTTTTTCAGAAGCGAAACTTAGCCCTCAGGGCTGCCAACATTTGCACTTTTCAACTGGGATATCCCGCTGTTAGGATGCTGTGAATCTGTCAACATCCATGTCGAAATTGCGTTACGAGTTTCTTTTCACTCCTCAAAGAAGAATCTTTTTCACTTTTTCAAATTATTACCGACACACACACACACACACACAAATTTTCCCCGAAGAAACTTCAACTTTAACTATAGATGATATACATTCAACGAAAAAAAAAAAAAAAATTGTTCCCTGTATATTATATTAAGTGTAACCTGTTATATTGGCATTCCAATATTTGTGTCCTCATCACTGACAAATATTTTTTTTCTCTCCTGTTTTCTATACAATGCGATAGTGCGCGCATGAAATTTAAAAACCCGAGACAAACAATATGAATGCCTATATAAGGTTTATAATTTCTTGTAAACAAGATGTCTATGGGTAATATGAAATTAGTGACGCGGCGGGAACAATAAATATATTATATAAACGGTAATTTCTTTCTTTTTCTTCCTTGGAAAATGTAACATAACCTCAAAAAAAAAAAAAATTTTAACCGTTTAGCTAAAAAAGATTTTTAGAAAAAGGGGACGTGTATAAATTACATAAGGCTTTTTTTGGGGGGTTAACCCCCTCCCCTTCTTCCTAATCCCACAAGAAAATGACGATTACATACGGTAACGCCATTTTTTCTTGGTTGATTGTAAGAAATAAATAGTCGAACCTCCCTCAGCAAATTAAAGCCTTAAGTCAATTTTATCAGAGTCAATTTTATTGAAAATATATATTTTTTTAAATGGTATTTTTTCAATAATACTACAGTAATTTTAGGATAACAATAATTAATATTCGAATAATATTGCAGTAATATTACAAAAAAAATATTACTAATATTACCCGAAATGTTACAAAAATATTACAGTAATTTTTTTTTTTTTTTTTTTTTTTTTTTTTAATGATATTTTTTCAATAATACCACAGTAATTTTACAATAATTAATTTTCAAAAAGTATTGCAGTAACTACAAAAAAAATATTACTAATATTACCCAAAATGTTACAAAAATATTACAGGAAATTTTTTTTTTTTAAATTGTACTTTTTCAATAATACTACAGTAATTTTACAATAATTAATTTTCGAATAATATTGCAGTATTATTACAAAAAAATACTACTAATATTACCCAAAATGTTACAAAAATATTACAATTTTTTTTTTTTTTTTTTTTTTTTTTTTTTTTTTTTTTTTTTTTTTTTAATGGTATTTTTTCAATAATACTACAGTAATTTTACAATAATTAATTTTCAAATAACATTGCAGTAATATTAGAAAAAAAAATATTAGTAATATTACCCGAAATGTTACAAAAATATTACACAAAGAATTATCAAAAACTAAAAGCAAAAAAAGAACAAAAAAAAAATTTTTTATTTTTCTTTTCTTTTGAACATATACATATATATTTTTTCAATAAAAGGTCTTCAGGAAAAATGCATTTTTCTCAATAATATTATTGTTATTGAGAGAGCGACTAAATATTCTCCCCCCACCTCGAAAATATATATAGTATGCGGTTCTGCGCGTGACGAAGAATTTCGGTCTATTCTCGAAAATTTCGACCTTCGCGTGCAGCCAAAAACCTTAAAGGTTGTAAACTCATAAAATCGTAAACTCATAAATATTCGTCATCATCGTCCATAATCCACATTGTTGTCGTAGTTTCTCCTCCGGGCTCGAGGCAATCCTTTTTCGCCCTTTAATATACTATATACAAAATACTCGTATATTTACAAATAACGATGATAATAATAATAATAATAACAATAACAATGATAAAAATAATAAAAATAATAAAAAAATAATAATAATAATAATAATAAAAATAATAATAAAAATAATATTAACATCTAATGCCTAACAATTAACAAAAAAAAAAAGATTTTTCCCATTGTAATATTCTCACTAATATTTTTTTGAGAACAAAAAAAAGACCAATTTTGATGCAATAACGAATTTTTCAGTTTCTAAACATTTTTTTTTTTTTGCAGACATTAACATTTTTTCCCTTCATGGAAATTCAATTTTTTAAAATTGAATTTTATTTATTTTTATTTTTTTATTTTCATAAATAATTAAACTCATATCTATACATTCAATTATTTTTAATACTATTTTAATTAATCGAAAAATTCAATTATTTTCATAAATAGGAATATTCGCATTACAAGAATTCAATTATTTTTAATTGTAATAAATTTTTTTCTTAGAAATTCAATTATTTTTTAGAAATTCTAATAAAATCGTTCGCAAGAATTCAATTATTTTAAAAAATTACAAAATTTTTCAAGCAGAAATTCAATTATTTTGACAAATAATACAAAAAGAAATTCAAATTCTTAAAGACTTTAATTTGAACCCTTTTCAAAATTCAATTATTTCCACGAATTTACGCTATATAATGCTTTTAATGTTCAATTATATAATTTCCAATTTTAAGTGAATTTTATTTTTTTTATTAATTTTTATTAAAAAATTTCTCGAGAATTCAATTATTTAAATAGAAAAATATATAATTTATTAAATAATTGTATATTTCTTAAATTTTATTTATTTTATTTATTTTTTTTAAAATAAAAAATTATTATTATTACTATTATTTTTTACATAGAAAAATATATAATTTATTAAAAAATTGAATATTTCTTATTTTTTATTTATTTATTTTTTTATATTATTTTAATTTTATCGAAATTTTTAAAAATAATTGAATTTTCTCGACGAATTTAAAAAAAACTTTTAATATTGCAATTTATTTCTATCATTTTTTTAAATTGTATAAAAAATAATTGAAATTTTGCGATAAATTTTGTTAATTTTAAAAATAATTGAATTATTGCAACGAATTTTATTAAAAATTTGTTTAAAGAATTGAATTCCTGTGAAGAATTTAATTTAAAAAAATAATTTAATTTCGGAAAAAATATTATTATATTCATGAAAATAATGAATTTCTTGTGATGAAGAATTTTATTAAATTTTTTTTAAATAATTGAATTTCTCAGAATTTTTAAAAATTTTTGGAAAATAATTAAATTCCATCGAGAAATTTCATTTTAAAAAAATTGAAAATAATTGAAATCTATGAAGAAGAATTTTATTAAATTTTTTTTTAAATAATTGAATTCCTGTGAAAAATTTTATTTTTGAAAAGAATTGAATTCTTATGGGAAGAATTTTATTTAAATTTCTTAAATAATTGAATTGCTTCGAAGAATTTTATTTTTTACGAAAATAATTGAATTGTTTCGAAGATTTTTATAAACATTTTTGACAATAATTGTATTCATAGGAAGAATGTAAAAATTTTACGAAAATATAATTGTATTCTACGTTTATTATAATTTTTCAAATTTATAAACCATTTTATCCAAATTTTTCAAAATAATTGAATTCTCGAGAAAAATTTTATTATTTATGAAAATATATTGATTTTTTGCGAAGAATTTTATTCAATTTTTTTTAAATAATTGAAGTCCCATTAAAAAAATTGCTTATTTGTGAAAATAATTGAATTCTTAAGAAGAATATTGTATTGAAAATAATTGAATTGTACCGGAAAATTTTATTAAAATTGCAATTTTATTAACTAAATCTTATAAAGAATTTTGTAAAAATTTTTTTCAATAATAAAATTTTTAAAAGAATTTTATTTAAATTTTTCCTAATAATTGAATTTCTCAGAACTATTTTTTTCAATTCTCTGAATTTATATTTGAATTCTTTCGAGAAACTTCATTAAAAAATTAAAAATAATTGAATTGGTGCGAATTTATAAAAAATGTGCAACAAATTGAATTCCTGTGAAATTTTTATTAAAATTTTCTTTAAATAATTGAATTTTTTTGGAAAATTTTATTATAATTGATATTAAAAATATCTTAAAATAAGAATTTTTGAAAATAACTGAAATTTTGCCAATTTTATTAAATTTTTCGAAAATAATTGAATTTTGGAGAAGAATTTTATTATTTATAAAGATAATTGAAATTTTAACGAGAATTTTAAAAAATTTGTTGAACATAATTGAATTTATGCAAAGAAGTTTATCACTTTTGAAAATAATTGAATTTCTAATGAGTTCTTCTTTTAATTTCTATTTAAATTCATTAAAAATTCATATTTTCTAAAATTTCAAATTGAAATTTATGAAGTTCATCTATTTATGAAACTTGTAAACGCAACTCTTTTGAAATCCAATTAATTTTGAAATTAAGTAAAATTATTCATTAAATAATTTAAAAGTAATAATTTTACGATTGTTCTTCAAAGAATTAAGTAAGTTAAAAAGAAATTATTGTTAGAAATAAATATACATTTATACGCTACAAACAAAACGCACCGTCGCGGGCATCATCATTATCATCCATACTTTCCCCCTCTCCATCTCTTTTCCTACCCCCACCCACCGCCCCTCGTCAAATAGCACCTCCCACTTTAACGCCCCCTCTCTCTTTCCTCATTGGTCAACAAATCAACTTTCACACCATTTCGAACCTGTTTACACGGCGTTTAACCTCCCCCCTCCCTTCGCATATCTTTTCTCTACCTCCCCCCTTTTTTTTGCACCCTCTCTCCCACCACTTATTTTTAGCCATCGTACAAGGTGTGGCTTAACAAACATCAGTAACTTTTCAACCTCATGTTTCTACCAGGGACGTTCAGTAAGGTTTTGAAATCCGTTCGGTTAAAAACAACTCGTCTTTCGACGGCGGAGTAGGAGGGGAGTTTAAAAAAAAAACTGGATACTAGTGGCAAAAGTTTAACTTTGCTAATAAAATTGTGAGAAGTGATATTCTTTTATTGTCTATCGATTTAATTTTTGTGAACGAAAATTGAAAAAAAAAAAATAGTGAGGTGTGAACCGGTGTTTGGGGACAGAAAATAAAAATCGAGGATTTTCCTGGATTTTTTTTTTACTTATAAAAAGTAAAAAAAAAAATAGAAAATAAAAAGTGTTTTTGGAGAGGAGGACAAGACGTTACTTTTTTCTTGCAAATTGTGAGATGACGGTCACGACAAATTTCTCGATGATGCGACCATGCTTCACCGGATATTCATTTCAAGGTATATAAAAGTTTTTTTTATTTAAAAATTTACAAAAAAAAAATTTATATTTTAATTTTTTAAAGACGTTTTCATTTTTTTTTTTATTTTTCTTTTTGTTTTTCTTTTAAAATAATGTCAATTTTCCTTTAAATTCACCTTTCTTTAATTCTTTCTAAAAACATTTTTTTACTATTTCTTTACAATTTTAATATTCTATTTCATGTAATATTTCATTTTTCTTAATTATTTAACATTTTTTAAAAATATTTTTAATTAATTTTCATAAATTCACAACCGTTTCGTTTCGCATTTTTATCAAAACCCTTTTTCTTCCTCATAGAAAAAGTTCTTTTCTTTTTATTCGTTTTCATCCCGAGAATTTATATTTTTTGAATTTTAATAATTTTATTAATAAATTGTTTCAATAATAAAATTCTCCACACAAAGAAATTATTTAAATAATTAAATGAATTGAAAAAGAAATAAAATTTAAACCAACAAACTTATTAAAGAAACAAAAATTTCTTTATACAATTTATTATTATTTATTATTTGTTTATTTAAAAAAAATGTTTAATCCCGTTTATTATTGTTAATAAATTAATTAATTAATAAAAATTTGTCAAAAAAAGAAAAGTTCATTAATTTGTTAAATAGAAATAAATTTCTCAAACGGTAAATTGTTTAAATAATTTGATACTAAATTATTTAAACAAAATTTGATAAAAAACTAAATTGTTTAAATAAAATTTGTTAAAGTAAATATAATGTTAATAAAATGTTTATTAAAATGATTAAATTGTTATTAAAAAGTTTGTTAATAAAATAAAATAATAATAATTAATAAAATAAAAATAATTAATTAATTTATTAATTTGTTAATAATAATTTTAATTTTTTTTTTTTTTTTTGACGAAATTGTTAATACAAAATTTGTAAAAATAAGTAAATTGTTAATGAAAAAATTGTTAAAAAAAAACTAAATTGTTAATGCATAATTTGTTAAAAAAAACTAAATTGTTTAAACAAAATCTGTTCAAACAAGTGAATTGTTAATCAAAAGTTTATTAAAATGATTAAATTGTTATTAAAAAATTTTGTTAAAGTGGAGAAATTATTAACACAATATTTGTGAAAATAAGTAAATTGTTAATGCAAAAAAATGTTGAGAAAAAATTGTTGAAACAATATTTGTTAATCTAATGAAATTGTTAAAACGAAATTTGTTAAAATCACTAAATTATTCAAACAAAATTTATTGTTTAAACAAAATTTGTTAATCTAATGAAATTGTTATTACGAAATTTGTTAAAATCACTTAATTATTTAAACAAAATTTATTAAAATAACAAAATTGTTAAAAAAATACCAAATTGTTTAAACAAAAATTTTTAAAATAACTAAATTGTTAAAAATTACTAAATTGTTTAAACAAAATTTGCTGAATAAACTAAAATGTTTAAACAAAATTTGTTAAAAGAACGGACAAAATAACTAAAAATTGTTAACAAATACAAATTTGTTTAAACAAAATTTGTTAGTGTAAAAAAAATTGTGAATTCAATAATTGATAATATAAAGAAAATGTTAATAAAATATTTATTAATGTAAAGAAATTGTTAATAAAAATATTTGTTAATACAAAATTTGTTAAACTAACTAAATTATTAATGCGAAATTAGTTAAAAACGAAATTGTTTAAACAAAAATTGAAAAAAAACAAGAATGTTTAAACAAAATTTGTAACAATAAATAAATTATAAATAAAAAAGTACTTAAAATAAAGAAATTGTTTTAGAAACATTGTTAAAATAAATAGTTTAATACAAAAATTAAAATTTTTGTATTTTTTCAATTATTATTATTATTAATATTTTATTATTACAATAAAGTCAATACAATAAAACTATAAATAAACTAAATAAATAAACGAATTTTCTTTAAATATTTTCAAAAAATAAGTCCTTTCGAAAAAAAAATTCCTAACCTTCTTTTATTACTAACTTTTTAAGTTTGTTATTTAAAAAAAAACATTTGTATTCATTTTTTTTAAACAAATCCAATCGTCTTGTTTGCAGAGCAAGAGAGGGACTTAAAAAGAAAAAAAAATGTTTAAAAGACGGATTTGCAATTTTTTTGGCGCGTGGGATTTTTATTGCGGGAGGGAAAGAAAAAAAAAATTTTTTTTTCCTTTCTTTTTGTTGAGGAGAGTATACAATATTCAACAAAAATAATACCACGAAAATTTTTGACCGTGGCAACTGATATATAACTCTACCTGAGAAGTGAGGTTATAGAGAGCAAAAGATGAAGAAAAAGAAGCCCCCTTTTTTGGAAAATGGTCGAAATGACCGAAACATTTACATTAATGACCCCCGTCATAAATCGAGAGATATATATACAGTATATCTTTTCGTGTTTAAAGAAAAGAGGAGGCACTTTCTTTCTCTCTCCCTCTACACACACAGTAAAGGAAAAGGCCCTTAAGAAATTTTCCAATATGTACAAAATTTTCAAACCTTCTTCTTTATTTGCTTCTTCATTTTTTTCCCTTGTTTTTATTGTTTATTTCTTTTACTCTAAGCAAATGAATTTTAATCACAGAAAAAAAAATTGTTTAATTTTTTTTTTTCAAAATATAAATTTTATTTTTTACTCATTTAATTTTTCAAATTCAATATTCAGAAGAAGAGAAGAAGAAAATTTTTGAAAATTAACCGTGAAATGATTCTCTTTTTTGGTTGGGGGACCGAAAGTCCCCCAAACAATTTACAACAAGGTTCGTGTTATTTTGCGCAATTTTTTTTCCTCACAGAATTTTTATTGACAATATATTTCAAAACTATTGTGTAATTTTTAGGATTTCCCTCCAACCATCATCTCTTTAAAAATTAAATTTTTCTCTACTTTTTCGGAAAGGTAAAATTTTTAATTTTCCGTTTTGGAAAAATTTTAATTTTACTTTTTGATACAGTTAAAAAAAATATAATTTTCTATTTTGGGAAAATTAAAGGGTAATTTTGACTCAACTTTTTGGGGAAAATTCTTAAACATAATTTCACTTGTTGGTAAAATTTAGAAACTTGAATTTACTTTTTAGGAAAATTAAAATAAAATAAGAAAATTAAAATTAAATAATTTGCTACTTTTGAGAAAATTAAAAAATAATTTTCCTTTTTGCAGAAAAAGTAAAAAAATCAAATTTACTTGTTTAATTCTTTTTTTCTTTTTTTTTTCTTTCAAGTATTAAGCAATAGTTTTGTTCATATAATAAAGCGACGGGTTATTTCCAGGTGCCAAGGCACGTAAAGCGCAATTACGTAATACGACTTCGCCATTTTAAGCAATAAAATTGTCTACTCGAGCCATGTGTTTTTTTAGAAACATTTTTTTCCCCCCTCTTTGTCATTCGATCTCATTTTCTTTTTTATAATTGTTTGAAAGAAGAAACAAAAAAGGAACTCGAACTTCTTGACGAAAGTAGAATAATAATGATAATAATAATAATAATAATAATAATATTAATTTATCCTCTATTGCCCAATATAAGAATCACCGCGAGATTAAATTCTACTGTTTCACCTTTTTTTTCCTCTTCTTTTTTTCATCATTTATTTTCTAATACTTTCTTGTATTACTTGCGTATAAATCTAATAATTTCACAATTCGATTAACAAATTATCACTTCCCCTCCAATTCCTCAAATACTTAGAATCAGAAGTAAATTTCTTTCTTTTTTTCTTATATTATAATCTTTAATTCTTGTCGAGAAAGCGAGATAAATAACTAAAAATCAGTTGAATTTTTTAACATTAGTGTTTTTTATTAATATCGATTTCTTTCAATATCTTACGATTTTTAGCTGATTAATATCGATTTTAACAACATTTGACAATATTTAACAGTATTTAACCATATTTAACGATATTTTACAATATTTAACTATATTTAACAATATTTAGCTGTACAATATTTAACTTAACAATATTTAGCGATATTTTAGAATATTTAACAATATTTAACGATATTTTACAATATTTAACTATATTTAACAATATTTAGCGATATTTTAGAATTTTTAACGATATTTTAGAATATTTAACAACATTTAACAATATTTAACAATGTTTAACTATATTTAACAATATTTAGCGATGTTTTAGAATTTTTAACGATATTTTACAATATTTAACTTAACAATATTTTAGAATTTTTAACGATATTTTAGAATATTTAACAATATTTAACGATATTTTAGAATATTTAACAATATTTAACGATATTTTAGAATTTTTAACGATATTTTACAATATTTAACAATATTTAACGATATTTTACAATATTTAACTATATTTAACAATATTTAGCGATATTTTAGAATTTTTAACGATATTTTACAATATTTAACTATTAACAATATTTTAGAATTTTTAACGATATTTTAGAATATTTAACAATATTTAACGATATTTTAGAATTTTTAATGATATTTTATAATATTTAACAATATTTAACGATATTTTAGAATATTTAACAATATTTAACGATATTTTAGAACTTTTAACCACATTTTAGAATATTTTAGAATATTTAACAACATTTAACAATATTTAACAATGTTTTACAATATTTTTTGTTTATAACAATTTTTTGCGATTTATATCGATTTTTAGATATCTAACGATTCTTTTTGCGATTTATAGGTATAAATTTTTGTTTAATTATTTAACATTTTTCTTGTTTTGTAATTTATAACAATTTTCTTTCATATTTAACGATCCTTTTTGTGATTTATAACATGATTGTATTCGATTTTTATCGATTTCTCTTAGATTTATATCGATTTTATAGGTATTTAACGATTTTTTGCGATTTATAACGATTTCTTCGATTTTTATCCATTCTTTGTGTGATTTATTATTATTTATATTTATTATTATTATTATTAGAATTATTTATTTTCTTGACATTTAACGATTCTTTTTGCAATTCATAACGATTTTCTTCGACATAAATCGATTTTCTTGCATTCTATATCGATTTATTTAGAGATTTAACTGTTCTTTTTGCGATTATAATAATTTATTTATATTTATCTATTTTATAGACAATTAACAATTTTTTTTGCAAATTACAACGATTTTTATCGATTTTCCCGTGATTTATATCGAATATTTACAATATTTAACTTTTCTGTCTACGATTACAACGATTTTTTGCCATTTATATCGATTTTATAAATATTTAACTTTATTTTTTGAGATTATAACGATTTTCTACGATTTATATCAATTTTATAAATATTTAACGATTCTTTCTGCGATTTTTAACGATTATCTTCAATATTTATCGATTTTCTGAGACACTTATCGATTTTTTTTTTGCAACTACAACGATTTTTTCGATTTTTCTGCGATTTTTATCGATTTTTAAGCCATTTATCGATTTTTTTACGATTTAATGATATTTTACCTCAATTTTAACGATTTTGTGTAATTTAAATTCGTTTTTTTTTATATTTTCCGATTTTCTTGGTAATTTTTCAATTTTTTTTTTTGCGATTTATATCGATTTTGTATTGTTTTTGTTTATTTGAAAAATAAAGTAAACATTTTTCTCGCGTGAAAAATTATTCTGTGATTCACGAAACCTTTCTCAATATAAATTCTCCGTTATATTCGCGAATAGCGGCAATTTTGTTTAACCGCTAGTTTATAAGTGAAAGAAAAAACGCATTAGTTGGCAAAATTTATTGTTTTCCTCTTTTCTTTTTTTAATCGTTCAATAAAACTTTTATTTTCTACAAAAATTTACATTTTATTTTTCAAAAAAAAAAAAAAAAATTTACCAAAAATTTAGTTAACAAATTTTAATTTAAAACAATAACAAAAAAACTAATTTTTATTATGTAATGAATAATTTTAATATTAATTTAATTTTTGTTGTGAAAAAAATTAATAATTTTCTTAATTTGCTTTAGATTTGGGATCGATACCGGGACAGGGACGTGTTAATCAATTGGGGGGTGTCTTCATTAACGGACGACCTCTTCCAAATCATATTCGAAAACAAATTGTGGAAATGGCCGGAAGTGGCGTTCGACCTTGCGTCATATCCAGGTAAAAAAATTTTTTTTCTATTTTCAATTTTCTATTGTCTTAATAATTATTAAAACAATAACTTTAATAACATTAATTTTAATACTAAAATTATTAATAATAATTTTTTATGAAAAATAATTTTATTATTAATAATTTTTTATTAATAATAATTTTAATAATTTTCTATTTTTTGTGCGCAGGCAACTTAGAGTATCACATGGATGTGTTTCGAAAATTTTAAATCGTTATCAGGAAACCGGAAGTATTAGGCCAGGCGTGATTGGTGGAAGTAAACCACGAGTCGCAACACCTGAAGTTGAATCCAGAATTGAAGACTACAAGAGGGAAAATCCAGGCGCATTTTCCTGGGAAATTAGAGACAGACTAATTAAGGAGGGAATGTGCGATAGAACAAGTGCACCAAGTGTGTCGGCAATATCTCGTCTTCTACGGGGACGTGACATTGAGGATGAGACAAAACTGGGAGATGGTGAGTTTTTTTTGAAAATTTTTCCACCTTCTAAATATATTTCTCCACTTTCCAAATAATTTTCCACCTTAAAAATAATTTTCCCCCTTCTAAATATTTTCTAACGTTGCAAATCATTTCCCACCTATAAAATAATTTTCCGCCTTTGAAATAGTTTTCAACCTTCTAAATAATTTCCTTCCTTTAACATAATTTTCCACCTACGGAGTAATTTTCCAACTTTTCACTAGTTCCTACCTTCAAAATAGTTTCCGACCTTTTAAATAATTTTCCACCTTGGAATTAATTTTCCAATCTTTAACATAATTCTTCATTAAAATAGTTTTCCACCTTCGTAGTAATTTTCCAACTTTTCACTAGTTTTCTACCTTCAAAATAATTCCCCACCTTTTTGAAGTCGTTTTTCTCCCTTCGAAATAATTTTCCAATAATTTTCAATCTTCAGAATAATTTTCAACCTTTTGCAATATTTTTCTACCTTTAAAATAATATTCCACAATTTTCCACTTTAGAAATAGTTTTCAACCTTCAGAATAATTTTCAACCTTTGCAATATTTTTCTACCTTCAAAATAATTTTCAACCTTTTGCAATATTTTTCTACCTTTAAAATAATATTCCACAATTTTCCACTTTAGAAATAGTTTTCAACCTTCAGAATAATTTTCAACCTTTGCAATATTTTTCTACCTTCAAAATAATTTTTCACTTTTGAATTATTTTTCCACAATTTTATATTTGCGGAATAGTTTTCCACCTTCTAAATAATTTCCTCGTACCTCCTTAATTTTCCACCTTCAAAATATAATCCTACCTTTTAAAGAATTTTCCACAGTTGAAATTGTTTTCCACCTTCGGATTAATTTTCCAACTTTTCACTAACTTTTCCACCTTTAAACTAATTTCCAACCTTTACAATAGTTTTCCACCTTCGAATTAATTTTCCAACTTTTCACTAACTTTTCCACCTTTAAACTAATTTCCAACCTTTACAATAGTTTTCCACCTTCGAATTAATTTTCCAGCTTTTAAATAGTTTTCAACCTTTGCCACATTTTTTACCTTCAATACAATTTTCCTCCCTTAAAGTAGTTTTCCACCTTCGCAATAATTTTCCATTAAAAGTGAAAATTATTTTCAACCATAAGAATAAAAAAGGAAACTTTCCAAGAAATTTTCTACCAAGAAAAATATTTTCTTTAGTAGAAAATTTTTTGGAAATTTGAAAATAGAAGAGGGAAAAGCGAAGACAAATGGAAAATAGAGAAAAATTTTTAGCAAATTTTTCCACCTTTTGAAATTATATTTTCCTCGTCGAGTGAAGTATTATATTTCGAGTACGCATAATATATAAAGCATATTCTCATAAGGCGCGTACAAATATACAAAGCGATGAATATCCGCAATGATGCACCTGAGAGTGAGGTGCGAGCGGCAAGAAAATTACAGAGCCAAGTCTCTTTGATCGTAGGTGCTACTGAGTAGCGTTACAGCTTTTATACAGCAAAGCCGTCAATTTTCATGAGCGGGGAACACGAGTGATTAATACACGCATTTAATATATTCATTCGCCGATTTCCAGCTCGTCGAGGATACCACACTCGATAATGCCGGGAAAGTTTATTACTCGTATGGTGGTCCAGAGGAGGAAATTTATATCCTCCCATTTTTTATTTTTTACTTAAAAAAAAATCATTTTTGACAAAAAGAAACAAAAATAATTTTCCACCTAAGAGAAAATTTTTCTTTTAACTTTAAAAGAGAATTTTTCTCCGGGAAAATTTTTTTTTGAAGGTAAAATTATTCTCCAAACCTTGAGAAAATATTTTACCAATGAAAATTAATTTTCCAACCTTGAAAATAGTTTTTTTTTATAAGTGGAAAACAATTTTCCAACTTGGAAAATTTGGCATTCTTAGAAAAATAATTAGCAAACCATTTTCCACCTTGGAAAATTATTTATCACCTGGAAAATAATTTTTCAACCTAATAATTTTCCAGTGGAAAATGATTTTCCGTCTTAAAAATTAGTTTTTCAGGGTGGAAAATGGTTTTCTAATTATTTTCCCAAGAGTGCTAAATTTTCCAGGTCGGAAAATGATTTTCTAACTATTTTTCCAAGGTGGGAAATATTTTCTTCTAAGAGAAAAATTATTTTTCAAGGCGGAAAATATTTTATTTTAAGTGAAAAATTATTTTCCCCAAAGAAAATTAATTCCAAGGTGGAAAATATTTTGAAACATAATTTTCCCTAAAGAAAAATAACTCCGAAGGTTGAAAATTATTTTCCATATGGAAAATTAAATCTAAGAGGTGGTAGCGAAAAATATTTTTTACACTGGAAAAATTAACTCAAAGGTGGAAAATTATGTTCTTAGGTGGAAATGTTATATTTTAATTGGAAAATTACTTTTCACAAGGAAAATTAATTTTAAGGTGGAAAATTATTTTGTCAACGGAAAAATATAACTCCGAAAGTATTCGTAAATAATATTTTCACAATTAAAGTCAAATCACACGATCGAGAGGAAAAGTGTGAGAGAAAGAGAAAAAAAATGAAGAGAGGGGGGAGAGAGATAGAATGTTTCTCATCCATATGACATGACAAATGAAATGTGTACCCACGAGGGCTCATCGTAAGATCATTTGAGGGTAGCTAGTCGGCGAAGATGAAAGGCCCAAAGAAGCAGAGAAAAAGCGGGGCTCCTTCAGTAAGACGATAGTTCTCTGAGGTTGCCGACCTTCTATTACAAAAAAAAAGAAATAATGAAAAAAAAGAAAAATAATAATCATAAGAAAGAATAAAACAGCGAAAAGACTCTTTAAAAAGAGAATTCATTTAAATAACCACGGGGCGTTAAGTATCACACACATACAGAAACTGTAGAAAGAGAAAACAATTTTTCTATAGCCAAAAAAAATTTTTTTTTTCCATTTAATTACAAATCCTCAATTTGTAACTATTTTTTTTCTCGATATTATGAGTATTTTTATGCAAATAAAATCTTTTCCACTGAAAAACTATTCTTCGAATTAAAATATTTTAATTGCGCATGAAAATTAGTTATGAAAAACTACTGCGCAGCTTAAAAGTGAAAACTGCGCATATAGCTGCGCAATAACTAATAAAGTCGAATATTTCTGCGCAGTAGAAATTTTTACACACTCATTACTATTCTTGATGTAAAAATATTAACGAATAAATAATTATTTTTAAATAACCATTTAAAATAAATTTCGAAAATAAATTTCTGAAATAAATTTGAAAATAAATTTCTGAAATAAATTTGAAAATAAATTTGAAACTAAATTTGAAAATAAATTTTTATAATAAAGTGACAAATTAATTAATCGATTCGAAATTAAAGTGAATTTTGTTCCTTGAAATTAAAAGTTTAAAGATACGTAATAGAGATCTACCCACAATATCAAGCAGCATATATCGCGCATCTTTGAAAATCAAACAGAAAATTATATCTTTCGGGAGCTTAAACGTTCTTGATTCTCGACCAGTAATTTCAACCTCTTCCAAACCCTTTTATTAGTCTCGGAATGAATGATTGCGTCTAATATGCGGTAGACTTGAGAGTTTTTATTATTATTTTTTTTAAATTTATTTATTTTCTTTGACGAAACAAATTTCAAGTATATGGGACACGTGCCTTGAAAATATTTTTCCAAAGCAAAAAATTTTTTTCCGCCAAAAAACAATAAAAAAAGGAGATTAATTCAGAGTCAATGTTGAAAAAATCAAAAACAAAGAATGTAAAAACAAAAAAAAGTGAAAACCAAAGTAAAAAAAATAGAATCAAAGACAAACCAAAATAAAAAAAGAACAAAAGAACAAAATTAAAAAAAAAATTAAACAAACAAAAAAAACCAAAAAAAACTTGATAACTAAAATCAAAAGAAGCAAAAAAAGATAATTAAAAGCAAAGATCGAAAAAAAGAAACAAAAGAAAAGAAACAAAAGTAAAAAAAAATAAATAAAAACTAAAATCAAAAGAAACAAAAATGAAAGACAAAACAAAAAAGCAAAAAAAACAAAGAATCAAAATAAAAAACAAAAAAGAAAAAAATTAAAAAACAAAAAGAATTAAAAAAGCAAATACCAAAAAACAGAACCAAAAGAACTAACGAAAACAATTAATTAATTTCAGGAAAAACAAGTTCAGGATCAGACTGCGAGAGCGAACCAGGAATACCCCTAAAACGTAAGCAACGCAGAAGTCGAACAACCTTCACTGCCCACCAATTGGACGAATTGGAAAGGGCATTTGAGAGGACACAATATCCAGATATCTACACAAGAGAAGAATTGGCCCAACGTACAAAACTCACCGAGGCACGAATTCAAGTTTGGTTCAGCAATAGAAGAGCACGTCTCCGTAAACAATTATCATCAACAACATCAAGTGGCTATGTCTCATCAGTGCCCTACTCATCAACACCTTATGTTCTTCATCCACCACCAGCAGCGCCACATTCACATTCAGGTGCTTCTCTGCCTCCAACTCATTCTCATCCCCATCATGGACAAAGTCTTCCAGATCCGGTGTTCTCATCGAGTCCTGGTGAGTAGATTCTTTAAATTTCTCCAGAGTCATTCTGTGTCTTATATAATATAACGTTTACTTTTATTTTCCGACCCTAATCATTTCTTACTTACTGCCTTATAGGATAATTATCATTTGTTGCTCACTGTCTTATACAGTAAGAAAACCTACCACGTCAGTCATATCCCATGAGTTGGAGTGAGACAGACTTATGCGATTCCCATACCTTCCTATGACTGACTGATAGCTTTTCTTACTATAGAATCGTTGATTGTTTGAAATTTTAATTTATTGTAACACCGACTTTTAGTGATAACTTATTGTAGCATTTTTTGTTTTATTATTAACTTCCGAATAGCATATCATTCTGTAGCATCTTCTGCTTAATTACGAACTAACTTCCAAATAGCATCATTCTGTAGCATCTTCTATTTAATTACTAACTGTTTTATTACTAACTTCCGAAAAGCATCATTCTGTAGCATCTTCTGTTTAATTACTAATTAACTTCAGAATAGCATCATTCTGTAGCATCTTCTGTTTAATTACTAATTAACTTCAGAATAGCATCATTCTGTAGCATCTTCTGTTTAATTACTAATTAACTTCAGAATAGCATCATTCTGTAGCATCTTCTATTTAATTACTAACTGTTTTATTACTAACTTCAGAATAGCATCATTCTGTAGCATCTTCTATTTAATTACTAACTGTTTTATTACTAACTTCCGAAGAGCATCATTCTGTAGCATCTTCTGTTTAATTACTAATAACTAACTTCCAAATAGCATTAATCTGTAGCATCTTCTGCCTTATTACTGACTATTCCGAATAGCATCTTCTGTTTAATTACTAATAATAACTAACTTCAGAATAGCATCATTCTGTAGCATCTTATGTTTAATTACTAATAACTGACTTCCAAATATGTAGCATCATTCTGTAGCATCTTCTGTTTAATTACTAACTAACTTCCAAATAGCATCATTCTGTAGCATCTTCTGTTTAAATACTATAACTAACTTCAGAGTAGCATCATTCTGTAGCATTTTCTGTTTAAATACTAATTACCTCTAATTACTAACTGTTTTATTACTAACTTCCGAAAAGCATCATTCTGTAGCATCTTCTGTTTAATTACCAATTAACTTCAAAATAGCATCATTCTGTAGCATCTTCGGTTTAATTACTATTTAACTAACTTCCAAATAGCATCATTCTGTAGCATCTTCTGTTTAATTACTAACTAACTTCCGAATAGCATCATTGTATCTACTATTATTCATTTTCTTGTAGCATTATTCCATCTTCTAATTTTTTACTTCATTATCCAAAAATGCTGTCATTAGTAACATCATCCTCGAACCATAATTTTCTGTTCTGTTTACTTTATTGTTCAGTAAAATCCACAAATTTCTTGTTCCTAAAACAATTGAATCAACAATAATCCCCCTTTTTCTGAATTGCAAATATTTCCCTTTTTTCAACACACTAAAAATTTTCTTCTCCTAATTTCAATAAAAATTGATTCCAAACTAAATTATCTGATATATCTTACGGAGTCGTTTAAAATCTATACATGTGAAAGTCGGGCAAAACAGAAGCGACTTGACGGACAATTACCGGAAGTTGTGTATCGAAATAATCTGAATACCGGTTTTTTTTTTATGAGGCAGACCTCAATCGTCGCGGACGAAATGTGCCTCGTCACGAGTATGCAATTTCCGCTTTGGAAGAAAACGATCATGACTACAACACTAATGACAGCACTGCTCGACTTATTATTGATATATAAATAAAAAAAGAATAAAAAGGATTTTTCGATTTCTCTTTTCCGAATCTTCCTGTATTCTAAGTTTACTACTTTGTCCTGACTAGAAAATAGAATTAGTGCTTTACAAAGAGAACATTAGTCCTAGCTAGAAAGTTGAAACGTTCTATTAGACAAAGTCTTAATTTTCCTTCTTCTTTTTAATTTTCAGACTTGTACCCAACGCATCATTCGTCGATACCTCATCAACTAACACCGGACTCAAGTCGCCTTGGCTCATCCGTCTGCTCGACGCCAACCTACAGTCTTCCACCATCAGTGAGCTACCCAACGTCACTGCTACCACCAACATCGTCACCAAATTCAACACACATGACTCATCAACTCTCACCAGTTCATTCAGTTTCCTCTAGCAACTATCAACACAACACAACTGCTCATCAACTACCACCAACACCAAATTCCCTCGTCACCATGATGGGCGGTTCAAATCCAAGTCCAGGCTCTGATCATCTAACAACATCCAGCGAACTACCAATTTCCTCCGTTTCACCTGTTCATCATCAACATCAAGCGAATCAGGGTAATTCATCGCCATCCTGGAATTTACCAATCAACAACAACAACAATAACAGTAGTGGTAATCGTATTGGACTACCAACACCGCCCAGTAACATTCAACATCACCCGAATCATCCCCCACCACCTCATCAGTTCAGCGGTCATTATACGAGTCAAACTTTCCAACAACCACCCAGACCAACGCCTCATCATCAGCCTTTTTATAGTTGGTATTAAAGAAGTCTTTCTTTTTCGCTAAGTCCCTTTTTGGATATCCAAAAATATCTTTATCCTATCTTACTGGATAGGTAAAGGGTCTTTATACTGAAAAGGGTCTTTTGACTTTAAATAGGAATTTACCGACTGAAATTTGCTATTAAGAATTAGTTAAATTAAACGGATTTGTCTTCCAATTGTCGAAATTGTTGTTTTTAATGATTTTATTATAATTCCGAGTGTTTGATTAGAAATGATTCAATCATTGAGGACGCGCCCACTTTTTGGCTCAGCCTACTAATGATTAGAAACGCCCACTTCTTGTCAGTTTGCTTATTGGCGCCGCCTTCTAGTTGAGGACACGCCCAGTTTTACTCATTGTCACCGCCCTTTCACTCTTTTCTACTTGTTCGCCGTCTTCTAATCATTAAAACAATCACTTTCTCGTAGATTGCAATCTAAACGCCCACTTTTCCTACTTCGCTTAATGGTATCGCCTTCTAACTATGCTGGACACGCCCAACTTTTGTTATCTTTCTTCTTGGCAACGCCTTCTATCTTTAAGAAAACGCCCACTTCTACTTTGCCTATTGGCACTGCTTTCTAAAGACGTAGGACACGACCACTTTCGGCTAGTTCGCTTTTTGGATCCGCCTTCTAATTAAAGAGGACACGCCCACTGTATCTTGGCACCGCCTTCTAAGCGTAAAGATCACGCCCATATTTTACTATCATTTGAAAAGAAAGAGAAGCGAAAGAAGGCGGAGGAACACGCCCACATTTTACTATCATTTGAAAGGAAAAAGAAGCGAAAGAAGACGGAGAAACACGCCCACATTTTACTATCATTTAAAAGAAGTAGTAGAAACGAAGAAAGAAGGCTCCGCCTTCTAAGCAAAGACCTGAAGACCACGCCCACATTTCACTATGATTTGAAAAGAAAAAGAAGCAGAAAAAGTACAAGTGGAGAGAGAAGAGAAAGAGGAGGGAGAAAATGTAGAACTGGAGAAAGAAGAGGGAGAAGAAGAGAATATAAACATAGTAAAAAAAAATTATAAAAAAAGAAAAAAAAAGTAGAAAAAAATTTTAAAAAAGAAGTAAAAACTAGAGAAGGGAGTAGAAATAGAAAAAAGAAGGTAAAAAAATAGCCGAAGACGAACACTGGCTTCTATTCTCTTGAAAACTCCGCCCTCTCTACTCCCACCAGAGACTGAAACCACGCCCCTTTTCTGTTTCAACACTCGGCTAAGAATCTTCTTCCTCTAAAAAAAATAAAACTCCGCCTACTCTTCCAAAAACAAACAAGAAGCCAGGACAACTTTAATTTTTTCTTAACACTTGACTAAAAGTCTTTTATTATTTTAAAAACTCCGCCCACTCTGCTGTCACTAAACAAAAAACCACGCCCACATTTTTTATACAATTTTACCGAGAATCGACCATTTTAATTGTTTGCAAAAAAAATCGTCAACATAATTATTGATTCGAGTCAAAATATTCCATTGAAAAATATTGAAAAACTCGATTCAAAAATATCGAAATATTCAATTCAAAAATTTCGAAATATTCGATTAAAAAATTTCAAAATATCCAAAAATTCAATTCAAAAATTGCGAAAAATTCAATTCAAAAATTGCGAAATATTCAATTCAAAAATATCGAAAAATTCAATTAAAAAAATATCGAAATATTCGATTCAAAACTAGCGTTAAAGTCGATTCAAAGATATCGAAATATTCAAAAATCAAAACATCGATGCGTTCGATTAAAAAATAACGACCGAGTCGATTAAAAAACAATCGAAATATTCGATTAAAAAAAAAATACACAAATATTCGATAGAAAAAATACCGAAATATTCGAATCCAAACTATCGTTATACGTTTGATTAAAAAATATCGATAAACTCGATTCAGAAATACATCAATAAACGGAAATTAAAAATTTTATCGATACATCGATGAAAAAATCATTTTCAAAAAACATTTTCAAAAAACATTTTCAAAATACATTTTCAAAATAAATTTTCAAAATACATAAAAAAAAGAGTTTAATAAAGATATATATTTTAAATATTTCCTAAATTTTTAAAATTAAAAAAAAAGTAGCTAAAAACTTTGTAAATTTTGATATTTGTCCCTATAGTGTTATTTTAAAAGTATAAATTTATATAATATAAAAAAAATCCTGTCTTTATGTTTGTAAAAAAAATTAATTTCTCGTGACAGAATTTTTTCCCCTTTTTTCTGATTTACAAATTACGATAAAAATTTTGCGTTTCTAATGATTAGTGATAATAGAATTTGATTTTTTTAAAAAAATCATTATTTAACGCCAGTACTGATATCGATTAATTTCCAAATCGAAATAAAATTATGTAAAAATTTGTTTATAAAATTTAGCTTAGTTTTTCTTATTTTGTAATTTTGTAAATTTGAAAATTAAAAATTAAAAATTAAAAATTTTACTAATTTGTTCTTATAAATAATGTTCAGTAATTAATTAAAAGCAGAGTATAAAATAATTTTTTCCTCTTTTTTCAAAATTAATTATTAGATTATTACCTAGTTGTTTAATTGTAAACTTAGTTAATAAAGAAACAAAAATTTTGTTCTTTTCAAATTTTCGGGACGCTTCCAGTGATTTTTATTTCTTACCATCTAATTATAAGGAGCTTATTTTTAAGTCGTGTATGAGTGTGTTTTTCTTCCTTTTTTTCAAAAAAAATTTAGATTCTACGATAAAAAATTGTAAATATTCGAATTTAATTAAACATTGTATGATTATTAATTATAACGAGTATAAACATAATTATTATTGTAAATAAATGTAAAGAAAAAGAAATTTGTAATGTAACAATTTTTTACGAGGCGCTAATTTTTAGCAGATTGCTGGCAACTGTTTTAAATTTAGAAATTCAAAAATTTTTTGTACATAATTTTTTTAAATGTATTTTCAATATATTTTAATTATGTGAATGTATTAAATTTTTCGAATTATGTTAAAGAATTTCTTTTCATTCTTTTCTTTTTAGTTTGTAAATATTATGTATTTTAGAATCAGCGATTTTTGAAAAGTTACAGTTCAACCAAAAAATTACATTTAATGTATATTTAGTTTGTAAAAATTAATGTAATTGAAAAATAAAAAAAAACCGCTGCCAAGTGGTAATTATACTTTAACATTCAATTTTTGTGCGTTACATTTTATGTATTCCTTTCATGAACGCGTTGCTTTAAAAATTTCATTAATTAAAAAATTAAAAAATCAAAAGTTTTAAATAATATTATTCAAAAATTCTAAAAAAAAATAATAGTAATCAGTAAAATAGAAACCTTTCAGAAATGTTTCAAATCTGGGGTAATAAACCACCCCAGGCTTCCGTTAGAGGGTAAAAAATCTTATTTCCGTTCTGGGGTCAAATTTAATTATTTAACAATAAACAAAAATGAATAATTTAAACATAATTTAACCATTTGAAAAAATGTTTAAAATAAAAAATGTAAATTGTGTACAAGTTTAAAATATTTACCATACAGTTGGACGCTGATAACACCCGATTGGAATCCTTCCAAATCCAAAGAGCACAACACATTCACTTAATTTTATTTGTAATATTTTTAAACGCGCACTGATTCTATAATTAATGAATGATTTAAGAGTGTTGGGCTGCAACAAATTACATATTGTGACTTTGTGATCTAGTCGCAGGTAATAATTTAGAATTCATTTTAAATTTTTACTTTCAAAAAAAAAAAAAATATTGTTACTAAACACATGGTAAGTTTTTTTCTTTTAATAAAAATGTAAAGGCCTATAACAATTAATTGCTAGAACTGTTAAATTTATATATTTATTTATTTCCACAATCTTCTAATTTTTCCGAATTTACAAAATAATAGATGATGTGAATTAAAACAGTTTAAATTGGTTTTAAGTTTGTTATAAGATTGTGATATTACAGACTTCGCACTCGATAATTAATTTTAAAAAAGTAGCAAAAAGTAGCTTGCAATCTAAAAAAAGTAGTTATCAAAAAATTAAACTTGACGACCAAAAAAAACTCGTTTTCGATACTTCACAAAAACTGACAAAAATTCCATTCTACATTTTATTTTCCTTACTTTTTCTTAATTATCATCAAAAATATTTACTTCTTTCTTATCCTGCTAATAAATTCAATTCCTGCAACGAATTTCATTATTCATCAAAGAATTTAAATATTTATAAAAATAATTTAATTCTTGCGAAGAATTTTATAAAATTTTTTAAATAATTGATTTCTTTCGCGATTAATTTTATGTAAATTCTAATTTAATATTGAAAATCATTGAATTGCAAAAAGGTTTCTGAAAATAATTAAATTTTACAAAGAATTCAATTAAAATTTTTGATAATAATTGAATTCTTGCGAACAATTTTATTAAAATACTTGAAAATAATTGAATTTTTGCAAAACTTGTAATATTGTTGTAAATAATTAAATTATTCCAAAGAATTTTAAAAAAACATTTGTTTAAATAATTGATTTTTTTGAGGAATTGAAATTAAATTTTTAAGAATAATTACATTTTTTGAGCAATTATTGTAAAATTGTATTAAAAATAATTGAAATCATGCGATGAATTTCATTATTTATGAAAATAATTGAATAGTCAGGTACTATAAGAATTTTATTAAGATTTTCAAAACTAATTGAATTTCTGAGAGGAATTTTATTATTTATAAAAATAATTGAATTATTGCGAAAAATTTAATTAAAATGTTTAAAAAGAATTTAATTTCTATATGAAAAATTTTATTATTTTTGAAAATAATTGAATTCTTGCGAACGATTTTATTAGAATTTTTAAAAATAATTGAATTTCCAAGAAAAAATGTATTACTTTTAAAAATAATTGAATTCTTGTGATGATTATTGCTGTTTATGAAAATATTTGAATTTTGCAAAGAATTTTATTAAAATTCCTCAAAATAATTGAATTCTTGGGAAAAATTTTATTAAAATCTGAAAGATAGTAATTGAATAATTTAAAAAAAATTAATTAAAATTGAATTTAAAATAATAGTTTTCTTTCGAACAATTTTATTAAAATATTTGAAATTAATTGAATTCCTGTAAAAAAAAATTGTAATATTGTTGTAAATAATTGAATTCTTTAAAAGAATTGATAATTCATCATTGATAATAATTGATAATTGATTTTTTGAGGAATTGAAATTAAATTACAAATTATGAGCAATTCCGCTGTTATATTATATATGAAAATAATTGAATTATTGCGAAAAATTTTATTAAAATATTTAAAAAGAATTGAATGTCTCTGAAAAATGTTGTTACTTTCAAAAATAATTGAATTCTTCATAAGAATTTTATAAACATTGTTTTAATTAATTCATTTTTTCGAAATATAACAAATATTATGAAAATTTTATTTTAAATAATTGAATTTTTCGATTAATCAATTTAAAATAGTATTAAAAATAATTGAAATTCTTCGATAAGTTTTATTATTTATGAAAATAATTAAATTTTTGCATAGAATTTTATCAAATTTTTTTTTTTAAAATTCGAATTCCATAAAAAATGTTATTATAAGTGAAAGTAATTGAACTATTGTGAAGAATTGTATAAAAATTTTGTTAAATAATTGATTAATTTCATTTTTTCGAAATTTTTTCAAAAATGCTATTCTAAATTAATTGAATTCCTATGAAAATTTTACTATTTATGAAAATAATTGAATTTTGGATGAATTTTATTAATTTTTTTAAAATAATTGAATTTTTTGCGAAATTTTATGAAAATAATTGAATTTTTAATATTTTTTTTAAATAATTGAATTTTGGATGAATTTTATTAATTTTTTTTTAAAATAATTGAATTCTTTTGCGAAATTTGATGAAAATATTAGATATTCAAAATAGAATTTCGAATATTTTTCGAAAATAATTGAATCGTTTTAAAGAATTTGATTAAAAATCTATGATAAGCATAAATTTATAAGAATAAATTTCATAGAACCAACAAGTCACTTGTAAATTGTAACATGTCCGCAACACTGATTAATTTAGACACAACTTTAAAAACTTGCTAACTTTTTGAACATAATATACTCAAAGATATAAATCAATCAAAACGATTTAAAATCGCGCACAGACTCTAAACTTTATCAAAATTGGCCCTGGAAGTAAAAGAAATAATTTTTTATTAATAACATTCGTGGTAAATTGAGCTAAACTTATTTCAATATAATTAGAGTCCCAAACACTACTCTGTTAAAAATCTGACTCCAACTTTACACCAAAAAGATTGAAATGATGTTATTTCAATTTAGCAAAGTGTGAATATACTTTTATTTGATTGCGCATTCACTAAAAACTTTAAACCAATGAAATGCAAGCAACTTTGCTAAATTGAAATAACATCATTTCAATCTTTTTGGTGTAAAGCTGGAGTCAGATTTTTAACCTATATATAGTGACAGCTCTAATTATAAACTTAAAGCAAATCTTTTAAGTTTTTTATAGCTTAGAATTTATGGCTTTTAGAATTTTAAAAACTAACATATGTGTACTAGAAGTAAAAATTAATACTTACAATTTCAATGGATTTCCTCCAGCAAAAGACGACAAATACCACCAGTAAAAATGACAATAATCTTCGAGTCATTCGTCCCCAGAGATCCCTTCTATAATAATTAATCGAAATATTAGAATTTCGAAAACAACAATTTGTTGTAAGAAGACCGAGTTCTCATGACTCAAATTTCTCGTTTACTGGGATTTGTATTTTCGCAAAGAATTACTAATGATTAAACCGCGATGGAGGAATCTAGAAAACAAACAATAAATATAATTATATAAATTAATTTTAGCCGAAATATTAGAAAGATATCTATTAACTGAAGCACAACATGAAAAAAGTTATTTTCGTTTTCAAAAATAAGGTTTAATATTTTAAATAATAGATGTTTAAAAAAAAATTTCAAATAACACAACAAAAAACAATTCACAA